AAGATGAAGATGAAGATGAAGATGAAGATGAAGATGAAGATGAAGATGAAGATGAAGATGAAGATGAAGATGAAGATGAAGATGAAGATGAAGATGAAGATGAAGATGAAGATGAAGATGAAGATGAAGATGAAGATGAAGATGAAGATGAAGATGAAGATGAAGATGAAGATGAAGATGAAGATGAAGATGAAGATGAAGATGAAGATGAAGATGAAGATGAAGATGAAGATGAAGATGAAGATGAAGATGAAGATGAAGATGAAGATGAAGATGAAGATGAAGATGAAGATGAAGATGAAGATGAAGATGAAGATGAAGATGAAGATGAAGATGAAGATGAAGATGAAGATGAAGATGAAGATGAAGATGAAGATGAAGATGAAGATGAAGATGAAGATGAAGATGAAGATGAAGATGAAGATGAAGATGAAGATGAAGATGAAGATGAAGATGAAGATGAAGATGAAGATGAAGATGAAGATGAAGATGAAGATGAAGATGAAGATGAAGATGAAGATGAAGATGAAGATGAAGATGAAGATGAAGATGAAGATGAAGATGAAGATGAAGATGAAGATGAAGATGAAGATGAAGATGAAGATGAAGATGATGAAGATGAAGATGAAGATGAAGATGAAGATGAAGATGAAGATGAAGATGAAGATGAAGATGAAGATGAAGATGAAGATGAAGATGAAGATGAAGATGAAGATGAAGATGAAGATGAAGATGAAGATGAAGATGAAGATGAAGATGAAGATGAAGATGAAGATGAAGATGAAGATGAAGATGAAGATGAAGATGAAGATGAAGATGAAGATGAAGATGAAGATGAAGATGAAGATGAAGATGAAGATGAAGATGAAGATGAAGATGAAGATGAAGATGAAGATGAAGATGAAGATGAAGATGAAGATGAAGATGAAGATGAAGATGAAGATGAAGATGAAGATGAAGATGAGAGATGAAGATGAAGATGAAGATGAAGATGAAGATGAAGATGAAGATGAAGATGAAGATGAAGATGAAGATGAAGATGAAGATGAAGATGAAGATGAAGATGAGATGAAGATGAAGATGAAGATGAAGATGAAGATGAGATGAAGATGAAGATGAAAGATGATGAGATGAAGATGAAGATGAAGATGAAGATGAAGATGAAGATGAAGATGAAGATGAAGATGAAGATGAAGATGAAGATGAAGATGAAGATGAAGATGAAGATGAAGATGAAGATGAAGATGAAGATGAAGATGAAGATGAAAAAATTAAAAGAACAGAATAAAATGCGGGTTAGAAGTATTTCGTATACTCTATTTGATAATATTTAAGTCTTGATTTAACTTCTCAGATGCTATTATATTTTATGTTTCAACATTTTCTGTATATCAGCCAAACCCAAAGTGTAATTTTTTTTAACCATGCTTTTATCAAAAGATGTGGGCTTGTACGGGGAACTATAAGTTAGACATCAGTCACAACAGATCTATCTAGGTCAAAGTGAAAGGCGATGAGATCATCCCACATAAGGTTTATTTATTTTGAAGTTTCAAATTATTTTTAACATACAAATTGCCGAAGTAATTTCAATATTCTTGGAAAACTAGAACTTTGCAGTGTTATGACATGTTTTTATTATGAAGGTGTACATACAATGAATAGTGATCTGAAATTGGTTACTCGACACAACCTCCAAGTTTAATAAAGTAAATAAAGGTTAAGATCAACGCTCGAGAAATGCGATAAAATTACAAAATTATGCCGATTTCCAAGAAAAAGCGTTGTTTTCAATGGTCTGAAATTCTAAGAAAGCAATGATAGGAGTGCTTTTAAGGTATGACGTAGTATTTACTGTCACATTGCAAAATATAATACCTTTTATGCTCTTTAAATGGAATTCTTCTGAAGTAAAGGATCTATTTCCCGTTAAAGAGGGTTTTAAGGATGACAAAAATACTAATTTTTCACTTTAATGCTATTTTGTTTCTTATTGAGCATTTCCGCTATTTCTACTCAATCTGAATGGTGTTTAGTATTAAAAAAATCGAGATACGCTAAATTGATGGTTCTTACTTTATCGAAACTGAGGCCCCACGGGCAAACGCGTAGCATAAAAGAAACGAGAAACGATTTAATTTGAACGGAAGATTGAAAGACGTATTGAGACGTTAAATTTTTAGGATTGTGAAACATTGGCGTTACTTATGCTAAACCACGGACCTTCAAATTACTAGCTCTGGTTTTTAAGAATCATTTCATGTCGCATTTTGAATATGATATGCAGTTTGTTAGAACAATTTATGTAAAAATATTTGGGTCCTTTACCCCTTCTAAATCTGTAACGTGTGGAGAGTGGGTTATCCCACGGCACTTAGGCCTCACTAGGCTGTGCATCCTCCTAAATTGAACACAAATCTTCAAATAAATGAGAGCGTCCGGCAACCGTAGAGGATATGCTCGAGGGCCCCATCTTCTTGTTGGCACCTCCTGTAGAATGCGGATACTGATAGCAACATGCAATGGCTCCTGTTATATTGAGAAATGCTGTTCTTTGAATTAGTTCTAGTTTGCGGACAGCATAGGTCTTATGCTGTCCGTCTAAGTCCATATGACGACTCAGGTGAAGAAACCCCAGGTGCGTCCCACGGTTTAGCGGGATTGTTCATAAGAAATGTATGCTCTTTTGATGTGTGAGTTCCATTTCAACTCTCTGTCAAAGGTGAGACCTAGGTATTTCACCTCTCTTACAGTTTTGTATTTAGGAGTTTTGGAGGTTTCAATTCCATTTTCATAATTTTCCTTGTGAAAGGGACCATTTCTGTCTTCTTGGGATCGATAGACAGTGAATGGCCCTTGCACCACTGTTCTATGATTTTGAGAGCTACTTGCAAAATAAAATAGACAAAATCTGCAGTTCATTGTTTATCAAATTTATTTAAAAGAAGACAAACATACATTTCACAAAATCCAATACTTGAAAAATAAAATATTAAAAATCGTTAAATCATTATACTTAATATTTATACATGTTATAAAATTTTTAGTTTCCCAATAACTTTTTTTGAAAATTTTGCATCTGTATTAGAATACCTAAGTGTGTAAAAAATCTTCATCTTATTACAACACAAACACCAAAAAATATCACTTAACATTGCTCACGTACTAAACACAACTTGGACTGACTTTGAGTAATACACAACTTATTTTCGCACATGCGCGTAACAAAATGGAACACTGAAAACACCAAGCTGTCGATTCTCCTTGATCGTTATTCTCGGGTAATATACCAAGACCTTGGTAGTAGTCAGCTATTTTTGTTGAATCTAAATCTCGAGAATATTTTAATATCAATTTGATGAGACATAATTTTTGACATTAATAATCTGGTTAAAGCCCTAGAGCTTTAGCTGGAGGACTTTAATCAATTGAATAATAATGCCAAAATTATGTAGAATCAAATTGTAAAACGTTCGACAAATTTAACAACAACAAAAATAGCCGAATAATAATCAATTTCGTGTTATATTTGGGACGACCATTTCACTAGATCAAATATTGACTATTTCTCTAGAGAAATATTCAAGGGTAATATACCAAGACCTTGATAATAGTCAGCTATTTTTGTTGAATCTGAATCTCGAGAATATTTTAATATCAATTTGATGAGACATAATTTTGGCATTAATAATCTGATTAGAACCCCAGAGATTTAGCTAGAGGGCTTTAATCAATTGATTATTAATGCCAAAATTATATAGAATCAAATTGTAAAATGTTCGAGAAAGTTAGCAACAACAAAAATAGCAGAATATTAATCAAGGTCATCTTATATTTGGAACGACTATTTCACTAGACTAAATACCGACTAGGTATTTCTCTAGAGAAATAGTCGCTGATATTTGGTCTAGGGAGATAGTCAAGGGTAATAGGTTAATATTCTTAAAATATTAAGTAACTATAACGTAAATTTTGATTTAAATAGACTGTCGATCGTTGACAGAGAGAGACTTGAGTAAGGGCTGTTGTTACCCGAAACTCTTGCCGAAAAGCCATGCTTTAGTAGAGGCTATTCCTTCGGGACCCTATGTCCCGAAACATCGTAATGTGTAAACTAAAATTTTGTGCAGCGATTTGTGTACCAGAGGTAAATTATCTTAAATTATTTTTACGTCGTTATAAAAGTGTTTTTTATGACACTGGCAAATGGATGTTCCTTTAAGATACCAGGACCATTTGGATGGTGACAGTGCGCCTTCATACCCTAATAGTATATTGAAAACAGCAGTTAAATACCTATCAGTTGTTACATTGATTCTTTAGATGAATTCGTTGTTACATATCCAACGATACCAACATGATAGCCTGTTATGTATCTACAATGTGTTCCATCAGCGAGTAATTGATCCAGAGCTCTTTTATTATTGGAGATACAAATAAATTTTAAATTGAAAAGTTGTGCGACCACATTTTTTAGCAGAGTAGTCCATAAATGAGGGACGAACCAAATGTATACTTTTTAAACCAAACACCTTGTAGGTAGTAACGCACAACATATTTGTTTTCACAAACGAATTTAATAGACTTAACGTTCCTAAAAATGTTTTGTATTTTCATTTAATTGCTATGATGTACCTTTATAGGGTGTGTTAAAACGCGAAGTTACGATATTCAAAATTTTGTTCCTATGGAATAAATACCCTGTATGTTATACCATCAATTTATTAAGTAGTTTCTTTACTTTTTATTTTGTTTGGGATAATTTTTTATTTTCTATTTCATTTAGAATGGTTTACATTACTTGTGACGTCGGGGAATAGGAAACCATCCATTATTCCTGACAAATAGGCTAACAAAAATTAAATTAGTATATTATTATATTTTCGGCAATGTTAAAGGGGTATAATTTGATAAAGGAATAAAGTAATTACTGTAATTTAATCTCGAAAGGTTAGCAGCTGCCCCCGTATGTACCCATAGTGCAAGTGAACATTAGCGGCCTCCAAGTGGGAATTAAGTGCAACAGAAACTCCTAACGAAACAAACCCCATGGATTGAGAAAATATTGTTCGCATGGCGTTTGCGTAAAAGGACCTTTAAAAGCCCGTTTACCCATCATCTACGCTTACACGTATAACACCCGCACATTATTAAACGCTTCGCGCCAAAACATCCCAGAAACAAATTTCGGACCTGTTGATTTTTCCATTGTGTCATGTTCTGAGATTTTTCCGGTTCGAGAGTTAAATTTTCTTGTATATCCTTAGAGATGAGGGGAATGTTGTTTTGCTTGTTTTTGATCGCTCTTAGCGAGGGGTTTCCCATAGGACGACCTGCGATGCTCTTGGACGAGTTTCCCGATTATCAGCTAGGCGTCAGATATGATGAATATCCGGTAAGTAGTGTGATTTATTGAAAATATTTTTTGACAGTTATTGGACGGGTTACGTTTCAATTTTTCATTTTTAATTTGAAAAGGTGGCTTTCTGGGCAGGTACATGTGGTTTGATTAAAACTAGGACGGCAGGGTGTGAATTTATTACAGATTTTTTTTGTTTTCATATATTTCTTAGCACAGGATTATAAAAAAAAATATTTTTTATCTTGGGCAGACACGAATGAGGACCAAAATGATATTATAAGGATTTATTTTTTACCTGGAATTATGACGGTAATTAGGGACCATACTTATTAATATATATTATTTTATATAACAGGGTGTTAGTATATTCAACCGACAACGTTCTACCACAGACAGCGCTTTTTAATTGATGAACTTTGATATAGAAACATGAATTCTTAAAGGGCTCAGTTATCGCTAACTAAACCCTTTAGGACGGGTTGTACAATGGGCAGGTAAAATGTAATTTTTGTTTAAACTGTGAACTTTGTTGTATAATCATTTAAGGTGATTACAGTATCCCTTATAATTTTCGGACAAGGATATCTCAAAAAGTATTTTTTTTTAAAAATTAAAATTTAGGCAAAATAAATTAGGCAATAATATCTAAAATATGCATATATTTTAAAGTTTCAATTCCTTCCAGTGTTCGAGAAAAAAAATGGGCTTTAAATTTTGAAATATCATAATGAAAATAAATACATTCCTCAACAGCACTATTCTTAATATAATCCATAAATTTAAACTCTTAATGTCTTGTTAATGATTTTTTAAAATTCGCCAAATTAGTGGCTAAAACGCCTCGTTAAGTGCTATCTTCTGGTGTAAACTGGTGTAAATCATTGCAGGAAACTAATGATGACTAAGAGTGTACGATACAATAGTTACAGTCGCGTTACATATTCTAGCTATTATTGCCTAATTTATTTTGCCAAAATTTTAATTTTTTAACATTATTACTTTTTGAAATAACTTTGTCCGAAAATTATAAGTGGTGCTGTATTCACCTTAAACATAGTATCAAAAATAAAACTCCTGTAATGTAAACTGAGATTCTTTGTACATGTTCCTATATCAAAATTTATCAATTATTAACGAGAGCTCTCTGATGTAAAGCATTATCGGTCAAATATACTAACACTATGTAAGAAGTGTCTTCTAATAGATTTCTAAAATATTGTTTATTTTTAAAGAAAATACGAATCCAGACAAAAATAAATATTTATTACACAATTTAAAAAGAATCTTTTAAACATACAATAATTATATACAGGGCGATTCTTAAGCAATTGTACATTGAAGTATAGTAGATTTTTGACTACAAAATATTATGATTTCAGCTAACTTGCCTTAATAAAATATTGACATATCGAATAAATATTGAATACAGTTAAAGGTGACATTTTAAAATAATTTTTTTTCTAATAAAGTTCACGTTTTCGGAAATTTATAATAAAAAATTTTAAATTTGCTGGTTTTTCGCATATAAAAAATTATAATTTTATAGGGCCGGCCACATAAGCCACATTTGTGTCATAAATATACGATATACTTTTTTGTTATTTAAGATAGCGCCATTTTTATTAAAAAACAATAAAGGAACGTCAATTTGACAAGAAACTTTATTATTATTTTTATTGCAATTAGGTGATACGATAAATATTTAATGAATAGCGGAAGATTAAGGCTTGGCCAGCGCCTTCGGTCTTAAAAAGTATACTAAAAGTTTAATATTATGTTCATAACATGTCCATTTCACTAAATTAAATCGAATATCTAAAGTGTTCCAATTAAAACACCATAATGATTATACATATCTGAAAATACTATTTATCTGGTTAATTGCACTGTCTAACTCTTAAGAATTAATTTCAGAGAAGTTAAATTACTACTGTTCCTTGGTAATATCGATACGGTGTTGTCAAGTTAATAATTTATAAGGTATTAACAGAAAATGTAGAAGCTAATGTTTATATTTATAACGTAATGGATATTTCTATACGTTCAAGATCAGTGACATTCTAAAACCATCAAATTAACGAAATTACATATTATAAAAAGATTTTTATAATGAATTACGTAGAATTTGTTATACTCAGCTGCCCATTATTAAAAGACATTTACATATCTGATTATTTTCATGCAAAATTCAAATTATATAGTTATTATACAGGGTAGGGTGTACCAATAAAAACTCCCAGGCCGGATATTTTGGTAAGTAATAGAGATATTTTAATTCTGTAAAAGCCAGTTCATAGAGCGCTAAGAGAGCTTCAGTTTGAGATATAAATTAATTTTTAATAGGTCAATATGTAAATGGCGCTGCGCTCAATATTTTATTTTCGATGGGAGGATCTTTCTTATATAGAACATCTGGTGTATTTTTAAGAAGATTTTGTTCTATTAACTAATTTGATAAATCAAGCCATTTTTGATATACAGAATGGGTCACTCAAAACAGTTTCATTCTGTTTATTCTGGCATTAATCAATGGATTTTTAGAAAATGCTAAAACAGATCGATTTTTATTTCAAATTGAACACATTTTTACAATACAAACATCTGTCATGTGTCAACCCCCTTCCTTCCACTTCTCTAATCCCTTAATTTTAAATTAGGAATGTACCATGTACGGCACATCATTGAAAAGGTAATTTTAGGGGGAAGTCAGAAATATGACTATTTATTGCAATACTTTTAATTTTAGCGCCATCTATCGGGATAAAAAAACCTGTAAAGTATTATAAAGTGTACCACATACCATTAATATAAATATTTCCATACTGCACTTGCAATAAAATAAAGTTAGCAATAATGTTTAAAATAATGCATGACTAATTTTCAAACTATTGCAAGTGCAATATGAGGATATTTATATTAATGTTAGGTGGTGCATTGAATTAGTAATTAAATTTGCTTTCAAATAAGGTGTTTATAATACGTACAGTTTTTTATCCCGATAGAGGGCGGTACAATTAAAAGTATCGCAATGAACAGTGGTATTTCTAAATTCCCCATAAAATTACCTTTTTAATGATGTGCCATACAATGATACATTACCTATTTAAAAGTAAGGTGTTGGAGAAGTGCAAGGGAGGGGGTTAACACATGACAGATGTCCGTATTGTAAAAATATTTTTAATTTGGAATAAAAATCAATCAGTTTTAGCATTTTCTTAAAATCCAGTGAATAATGCTGAAAAACAGGATTAAACTGTTTTGAGTGACCCACTCTGTATATCAAAAATGGCTAGATTTATCGAATTAGTTCATAAAACAAAATCTGCTTAAATTGCATTTTTTACAAAATGCGCTACACAAGAAAGATCCTCCCATCGAAAAAAAATTATGAGCGGAGCGCCATCTACATATTGACCTATTTAAATTCAATTTATATCTAAAACTGAAGCTTTCTCAGGGCTCTGTGTACTGGCTTTTACAGAATTAAAATATCTTTATTACTTACGAAAATATCTGGCCTGGGAGTTTTTATTGGTACAACCCTGTATATCCATTGGCATCAATATTTGTATAAAATATACTACAATACATGTTACAGGTTTATGGTAAGGTTCAGTTTAAAAATTAATTAAGATAATTTAAATTAGGCTGCAATAATCGGTGAGATAAAAGAGGGAGCACATTTTAAATGTAAAATACCCTTCGGTCAGAATTTGACGAAATTTTAAAATGTTGTAGAACTTTACCTATTGATGAAATATTTCCGTTGCGCCAAAGCTCTAAGTTTAACAGTTTTTGATTTACAGGGTGTCCAAAATCACTGTTTCATAATTTCAGATTATCATAAAATGCATGTTTTTTTTTCAATATTAGCACAAAAATAAGTGAATTTTTTTTTCGTAGAACTTACTACATTTCTCTATTTGCTTTCATAATTTGTGTACACACAACTGGTATATAGGGTGAGATCATATACCGGGTGTTCAAATTAAAGTGTTACAGTTAAATACCGCCGAAAATATGCATTTTAGAAAAAAAAGTTTCAGACAAAAGTTTTATAGTTTTTTGGGGGAAACATTTTGGCTAAATTCATTTTTTTATAGCTGACCATAATATGGCCATATCGAGGTGGACTTTGTTTTTTTTAATGGGAATCCCATTTTTTCTTACATATTCTTAAAGTACATAAAAAAATAAGAAACTTTTGAGGGAAATATTTTTTTTATTGGACTTTTACTTTTTGAGTAACAGTTACTTGAAAATGTTGCTGCGCGAAAAAAAAGTTGGCCATATTATGGTTAGCTATAAAAAACGATTTTAGCCAAAAGTTTTCCCCACAAAACTATAAAACTTTCGTCTGAAATGTTTTTTTTTATAAAAAGCTGTATATAGCTGTAACGCTTTAATTTGAACACCCGGCATATGCTTTTGAAAAAAAAAATGTACGGTGGAATTGTTTTGATATTTTGGTGAAAGGAAGCTAATACATATACAGGGTGGCCACTTTTTTAATGGGATTGTATTAGTAATTTCCAAACCATACTAGTTAGAAAGTCGGTTAAATGGAGAAAAAGTTGCATAATTTAGCGGTGAAAATTAATCGAAAATAGCAGGCCCGGCTCTTGAGATATTTAGATAAAAGGAAATTCGATCTTTTCGGTTTTTTGGTTATCGTTCATTTATTTTCAGAACTACTAAAAAATATTTTAGAGGTTTTTTTATTTGATAGTAAATTTTCTTTGATTTGACGTTTTCATATTTTGCATCCAACGTTTTGTATTCTCCAGACCACCCTCAACTTATTTTTTTTAAATATGGACCTGGATATTTTATAACATTATTTGAAATAGCTTTTTGACCTGCATCCAGCGGTGTCTTACACAATGGTATTCAATGACGGTTTTTGGGTAATATGGATCGTAATCCAAATTTTATTAAATTTATGCTTGAATTAACATGATGTCATGCCTCTCGATAAAAAAATAAAGTAAATTCTTACAAAATTGATCTAATTTTTCGAAAATTAAACAATT